GGATTTTTTTTTAAGAGAGAATAGAAATTGTGAAAAAATCAGTATTTAAAAATAATGTAATTAATTATTGCATATTAATAAAAAGTGATTCTTGTATATAGATTGCATTTAGTTTTTGTAAAAAATAATGTAAACTTACTATTATTTAATAATCAATACTTTTCATCAGTTAATCATAAATTAGTCGAATCTTATTCAACAGTTTTTTTATTGTTATATAAAATAATTGTAACATGAAATTTTCTATTAATTAATAATACGTTAATTAATAATAAATTTACATATATTTTAAAAGGAAAAATTAAAATTACATTAACATTATTGTCTTATTTATATAAATATATCTTGTTAATATTTGATTTTTGATGAATTGAATTTATTTAATTGTTTCAATAACGATTCATATTTATATATTTATTTTTGTTTTAAATAATTTTTTACTAATGTGTGTGTGCGAGCGTGCGTACGTGCGTGCGTGCGTGCGTGTGTGTGTGTGTGTGTGTGTGTGTGTGTGTGTGTGTGTGTGTGTGTGTGTGTGTGTGTGTATTTCTGACATGACATACAATACTGTAAGATATGCCTAACTAGATTATTAATTACCTATTTATGTGGGAGAAATTTTTCTAATTTATCGAGATATATCCCATTTATATTGTGTTGCAATTATGTCAAAAAAGATAATATAACAAAAATTCAAAACAAAGAAACTTGCAAAAGAGTGTAGTAGATATGTTCGAACATTCCATATTAAAGATTTTAATTTGTTAGATGAAATATTTTCATAGTTGCTGATATGATAATTGTATTAATATTGTAAGTTATTAATATTATTTAGAGATAAAAAAATTATGTAAAATTATATAAAATGAATTATGTAAAAAAAAAAGTTGTGTAATCTTTTACTTAAGTAAGTTTCTAATAAATTTCATATACCAATTGCAATATTATTTTAAGAGTGAAATTATTATTATATTTTCCTAATATGCGAGAGAAATAGAGAGAGAGAGAGAGAGAGAGAGAGAGAGAGAGAGAGAGAGAGAGAGATGAAATAAGTTTGCAGTTTCGTTATTTGTATGGATAGTATTATGTGAAGAATAATTTTATATATACACAGTAAAAAAGTTCTCGAAAAAATAAATTATAAAAGTTCAATTTCATGAAATAGTTGTTAAGACATGAAAATTAAAAACAGATTAATTATATGTTAAATTATATAGACTAAATTATAGATTAAATGGTTGTTTAATGATAAGCTATAATTGATTAAATTTTTAAATATTTATGTCTCAAAAATTACTATTCAAAATGACAAATCGCAAATACTTTTATAATTTATTTTTTCGAGAACTCTTATTATGTATTTTTGATTTATGAATTTCGGGGCACTATGTATATAAAAGATTGACAATATACAAGTATATATATATATATA